AGCCCATTCCTGCCTTTGTCCCCAAGTGGTGTGCTGCTATCGGTCTGCAAGGCTAATGCTGTAACTCGCTGTTTGCTCCCACGCAGTCTCTGGGCTGTTAACGTGCCTGTGTTTTCCCCCCAAAGCTCCTTGTGCTGCTGTAACTTGTCCTATAGCTCCCTCCCCCTGCACGTCTGTGCCAGTCCCTGAAAGGGTCTGCTTCTCCCTTTCCAATGGAGATGGTGTGTTTACACACATGCAATCTGAGATTAGCTCCAACTGGCACTCCTACCTCTAAGGACACTGGTGACACAAGTAGAGAACAAAGCCAAGTGCCCCTTGGGTGACACTTTCAGAGGTGGGGCATTTCTACCCCAGAGGCTTCTGGATTTAACTCAAACTTTGATGAAACGTCTCTCAAACTCCACCTTCTAGCCACCCCCCTCAGACCCAAGATTGTCCTTGGGGCCATGTTGGCTTTGAGCCACCAGACTTGTCTCGCTGGTAGGAAGGCACGCAGTTGCAGAGTCTGCTATTACGGCTCCAATTTAAGTAGCAATCAGAATAGCTTCTGTTTCCCACCCTTCCCTTCCCAAAACCTGTATGAGAACCTATAAAAAGTGCATCCCAATTTTGTCCTGGGAATGTAGCCATGTATAGCTTCTCAACCTTGCCGGAGAAGATCCTCTGACTAGTGCTGAAGAAACAAGCAAGAACCCCACTTGAAGCTATCCAGGCTCCAAGCCTTCACAGAAATAGTCACCTTTCACTGCCATCAGGCCTTGGGAAAAGATGCCACTGGGGTCTCACCATGACCATCTCTATCCCTGGCAACCGTAATCCTAACTACATGTTTGGCCTTTTAGTAAAGAAGGGACCAAAGTGTGTCCTAGACCAGGCCAAGCCATCAGCACATGGGGATGTGGTTAAACTACAATCTGGTTCTGTCTCTACTGACCCATAGTATAAAAGAGCATCCCAATTTGGTAGCAAAGACAAGATCTCAGTCTTGTTAAATGGAAGGCGTAGAAGCATTTCACTGGGGGCATCTGCATGGCCTGTTGGACAAATGTGGAGTCTCTGGGGTTTTAGCATTTAGTGAAGAGACAGAAGGATGGATGGAGTTGGTCATAAAGCACAATCTGCTTATTTTTTTACCAGCACTTGAGAGAAAAAATGTGGCTGGCCTTGCAAAGTCGATGATGGGAAATAAGGAGATTGGGGTTCTCTTCCTTGCTCTGCCACTTATGTATCAAGAGATCTGTGCTTCACCTATCTGTTCAACCATTTGAAGAATGGGGATAATACCATCACCGCAAGGGTATTATGAGGATTAACTGTGCAATGCCTATAAAGCCCTCTGAGACTCTCAGATAGAAAGGGCAGGGATCTATTGTGCTTTGTCCTTCAGCCTGGATAGGAAAAGCTGCTTTGAGATATCCTAGTAGGAATAAAGGAGCAGGGACATCTGCTGACATTAAAAGCAGAGTGTGTAGCTTTGGGGAGGGTGCTCTTGATAAACCCTGGCTTCATCTAGGGGCAGAAGTATCACAGTGGGCCAGCAGAGAAGCTCAAAGGCCTGAGAAGCCAGGCAGTAAAATGCCTAAACAAAAACCATCAACCATCTGCACACCACAAAAGGGGATGTAGGCCCCAAATGCACCTGCAGAGGCAAGGTGCATGCATGTCAGTCATAACAAATGCTCGGCACCTTCCTCAAGCAATAGTAACTTCCAGTTTGAGGGGTCTCTATGCCCCATCATTGAAGGGAAGCCACCTTCCAGGTGGACTGCAGCAACCTACTTTAATTACAAGCTCCTGGGTGGAAGGAGAGAAATCTTTTGACCTAGGGCAATAAGATGAGCATGAGTCTTGAATATTCAAGCAATGCAAAAGGGTGTTGGTGCTAGAGCCTCAACCCAGAGACTTTGTTTCATAAGTTGCACATTCGTGTCTCAGAAAGGGGGAGGGCTAAGCCAGCCATGCCAGGACTCAGATGGGTAGTTTCAAGGTGTCTGTTCTTCAGACGAGAAGTTTCAGCCGTGGCTAAGTGGGCACGTTGCTAGAGAGACAGCTGAGCAGATGAGCAAAGGAGAGGATGGCTGGCTGGTGGGTGGAGGGATTGAAGGAAGAAAAACGTCGGTAGTTGCCTGAAGGAAGATTGGTGAAAAGCTTGAAAGGTATTAGCACATGGATGATGGATGGAGGAAAGAATAAGGCAGTAAGAAAGATGGATGACTAGCTAGATGGAAGAATGGATAGCAACAGAGGAGGAAAAATGTTTAGATAAAAAGATGACTCGCTGTCTGAACTGACAGGCGATTGTGAAGGAAAGCTGGTTGCAAGGAAGGGCTTCATCTGTCAACAGGTGCAGAGACCTAGGATCAGAGCAGGAATTTCATTTAGCTTTCCTTCATTGGCAGAAGCCAGTTCCTCCAGCCTCCGCCACAGAGGAAGAAATGCAGTTGCAGATAGCGCTCACCCTGAGCAAGGTGGAGCACGAGAAGGTACCCGCGCTCGGCCGCCCAAAAGGCACTTACCTCTTCTTGAATTTCCACTTCGTGAGATTCGACCTGGGGCTTTGGAGCATTGAAACCACGCTACTTTCTGCCTCGCTTGGTGTCTTGGTGGGGACGTGATGTATTCCAGGGCTTCTGCTTCTGCTACCTACCTGGCTGTAGACTTTACCTTCACAGCTCTTAAGCCTGTTCAATCAATATTCCTAATGGCAGATCTATCCTGAAATGCTCAAACACAGTGGAAAACAATGCTGCTGGCTAACACTTTGGCACACGGTGGCCCCTACCCTCGGTCTCTCTACAGATAGGCAGCGCGCATCTGATTCTCTCTCGTCTTTACTCGTTACATCCCAGACATAATGAATAATGCATTGTCCATTTTGACTGCAGGAAGTGAGGGCCTGGCAAGGAGAGAACTCGCTGCTACAGAAGACCCTGGAAGAGACCCAGCCGGGTGTAGAGGAGGAGGAAGAAGAGGACAAGCTGAAGAACAGTCAGGTAAGAAGTGGTAGCGAGCGGCTGGGGGTTGGGGGCACCTATAACGGGCTGCAGATCATTTCCTGTCTTGGGCATGGGCTCAAATGGTTGTGATTGGAAGTGATCTAGATGGCCGTGCAAAGTGATCTGCTGATTTCAGAGCAGCTCCTGCACCACAGAGAAGAATCTCCATGACAGCCCAGACGAGGAAAGAGAAGGAGCTTTTGGCTCCTTGAACAGCCCGTCAGGCCTGGCTGCACTGTCGTGGGCTCTTCTGCATTTGTTCCAGGCGTGAGCAGAGGACTGCAGTTTTTCTCGAGGTCACTCCGCCTCTCTAATGAGTGCTGCATTCGCCCAAGCCAGAGCTGGACTCTCTTTGAAAGGACGTCTCTCTTGAGAGAAGGGCTAGAGCAGGGCATTCCCTGCTAATGATGCAGTTTGAGCTGCTTCTCTGTGGGTGAGGCCTGGGGTTAGCTGAGAAATGACAAAGGTCCGTCTGGGCCCGATGCCCCAGGGGCTAGCGTGGTGAGAGCAGGCCAGCTTCTGTAGCCCCAGGAGCAATGTGGCTGGTATCGTGTCTAGCTGCTTTGGATTCCCCACACCGTAACCCCTTCCTTTCTCCTCCTTGCATTTCTAGTCCTCTATTTTGGAGCTGGCAGACATTTTTGGCCCAGTGCCGGCCACTTCAACCCGTGCTTCTGCTGACCCGTGGGATATTCCAGGTGGGGACAACACTCAGTCTGCTAATGCTTGGGACAATGGTGGCACTTTCTCTCCTCCTCCAGCTCTGTCCTTGTCCAGCTCTTGGGATCCTAACAGTAAGAACATTGCTCGCGGTCTCTCCCCGCCTGCCCGTGCCCTTTATCCTCCCCTCCCTCCATCCTCACGGCAGCTTGTAAGCGGAAAGAGGAACTGAAGGCAGAAGGGTGGCAAGTGTTAAATGAACCCCTGCTTGTTTTCATGCTCCTCCTGCCTTGTGCCTTCAGTCTGCCTGGTGCTTTTCTTCTCCAGTTTCCCATTCCTGTGGCTTCACCCCCATCTTCATCCTTTCCTTGTGCCGCCCACTGCGGGTCAGTCTTTTCCCTCCTCTCTGCCAGTTCCAGAGTCCTGCATCTTCCCCTGTGTCTTTCAGATCTCAAGTCAAATGTGGAGTCAGCATC